TGTGCGGGGCGCCAGCGGCCAGACCGAAGCCCCCCAGCCTTGCAGGCCTCCTGGCCTGGAGCATGCTCAGTCTCCACAGAGTCTGGAGTTGCCCTTGTGAACTGGAAGCCTGGGATGCGGCCGAATGTCAAAGGTCCTGCCCAGACCCCTGGGGGAAGGGAAATGAACCCCCACACACATCACGTGCCTGGGGAGGGTGTTACACTTTGAAGAGGGTGTTAAACCCAGTTGATGCCTGAGCAAGGGGGAAAGCCTGTGAGCAATCTCTGCCTCCAATACAGGCAGCTGCGCCTCTTCCACCAACCAACGAAACCATCATTTGCTGGTAACCGACTTCATCTGGGCTTTGGGGTCCAGAGTGGAAAGGAGAATGGGGGCTGGGGTTGAAGCAGCAAACATCTACTGAGCATCCTCACCAGGCAAAGCAGGTGGAGAGTTCTGTTCTCGTCATCACTGTTAGGACGACTACAGATGAGAAAACAGCCTGGGAGAGGGGACTGGGGACCAGAGCTCTGTCCAGTAGCAGTAGACGGGGCTGCACTGACTCACAGCCCAGGAAGAGATGCAGACTGTAAGCAAGCAATTGCAATCAGCGTGACCAGCCGCTGATCTAACTGGGGAGGGGGAGGCAGGGAATCAGGGAAGACACCTGAAAGGGCAGGCAGGGACAGGCAAGGGGGCAAGCTGGGTATGGAGGCTCTGAGACCTGGCGTCATTGGGGGGGAGGAGGGGAAGCTGCAGTCCCACCAGGGAGCAGAGCCCCTGTCTGTCGGGCCTGCCCTCCCTGCAGCACCCAGCCAAGCCTTGGACCACACACGTGCTCAGCAAATGCTTGGGGAATAGCAAGTAAACGAATACATATTTCTCCAGCGAGAAAATGGACGGACGCCTTTCTTTCACAATTTTTGTCCTTAAACTGATCAAAATCACATGGCGTTGATTCTGCTGTCACCAGTGCATTTTCTTGCGACCATATTTTTGAGAGTCTGTGCAAGTGCCCAGCATCATCCTCTGCATTTGCTGGCCCCCGGCAGGAGGGAGAGGTGCCGGGAGCACAGGGCTCCCTTGTATTGGGATGTGTTTCAATGGCCTGGATCAGAGGCCTCCAGGATATATTGTTCAGTGGAAAAGCAAAGTGCAGAACAGTATTTACAAGAAGGCGGCTCTCATGAACGAAGGCGGGAGGCAGCTGTGCGTTTGGATTTGCTCGCGTCGGCATAAATTTATGCTCCGGCAGGCTGCGCGAAGCACCTGCAAAGTGGGGATTAGCCACGCAGATGGGCTGGCGCACGGAGCTGGATGGGCAAGTGAGACTTTCAACGGGTGGGAGTGAGACTTTCAATGTCCACTCTTAGGAAACTTTTATTTTTGAACCAAAAATAAATTATACACATACATACGGACAATGTTCTGCCATCTGTGTCTAGAATCTTTTTTTAAATATATTCTTACTGATTTCAGAGAGGAAA